ATGCCGTTTTGTGATGACCCGCCGGAGATTCAACTAGCATGTGGTTCACATGCCTTGTGGCGTGAGGATTATGAAGGTATAGTCCATGCGAGTTTTTGCTTCCATACGTACGATGACAGTCAGTACTGTACTCATGTACGGCACCCCGACATGTCATGTCCAATTTGTAGACAGGGGCTGGAACGGCAATGCCTCTATAATTGCGGTCGACGTGCCTCTGTGTTCCTAGCATGTACGAGCCACGTAGCCTGTGACATCTGTCTGCGCCGTGCCATTCGATGCAGCAACTGACTGCGAAAATTGGATGTGGTGCTTCCATAGCCCACACCCGAACCGGTCCTGTCCGGTCTGTAGCGGTGGCCACTCACAGCGGTGAATATTTAGAAATCTGTGAGACCCGTCATACAGCCTTCCCCTGCTCTTGAGTGTCACTCTATCCTGCCCTCCACATATTTCTTTCCTTCCCGTTGCCCCTAACTCCCCTGCCCCATACTCCTAGAGAACTCCGCCTTCTATCCCTTACCCTCCACCCTCTGTGTACTACTAACAAATACATACGAATGAGCATCATTAAGAGTATAGACGATATGAAGATCAGAAATGAAATGAACGGAAGTATGAATATGAAGGACGGACACAAAGGCTGTATAAGCTGAAGATCTGAAATGAAATGGACAGGAGTGTGAAGCTCTGAAGAGATGCAAAGGAGCATACCTTCCCTTTTACTCTGCCTCCTGAAATCACGTGCAAGTGGGCCGTGGAGGCACACGGGGATGTGGGCAGCTGCCGCTCAACCACAATCAACGTGGGCAGCCTTGCGCGTAAGAGGCASAGTAAAAGGGGAGCTGCAAGAACAATGAAAGGGGTACCCCAAGAACAACCAARAAACTGTCTAATTATAAAATTGCTTTAATATGTTGGACATCTCAAATGCTCTCGTTGTCTGCAATAGGATAAAGACTGCTTTGATTCTGAATCTATTCACCTGGGTGGAATTGGGGCTGTTGTGGGGAAAATCTAAAACACACACACACACACACACACACACACACACACACACACACACACACACACACACACACACACACACACACACACAAGGGAGCACCTACTATTTAGCACTTCTCAAAAGTGCTCACTGAAACACACAGAGAGTACTTAGGAAAAACAGGGGACAGGACAAGCAAGAGCAAGACATACATACATGAAACTGATTGTATGTGTGTGTGTGTGGCAATTCTTCATCATTCATAACCCACTCATCATCCATTTCATCAGGGTTTCAAGGGAAGACTTTTCATTTATCAGACACATTCATTGAAAGTGCAAGGTTGTCCACGATTGTGTGGTTGAGCGGTGGGGCCCACACACCCATGTGCTATATGCGCACTTGCGTAACTTTGTTGTAAAGATGCTTATGTATCTGAGACTATCTCCAAAGAAGAGATCTTCAGGGAAACAGAGGGAAATAAATATGTGAAGGGGAGGGAGGAAGTGGGGAGAAGAAAAGGAAAGCAAGGATCTGATGAAATTCTCAGCAATAGACCGGCATTACGGGCAATGGCCACTGACGAGTTGAGTTGATTATGCATGTTTCTAACTTCTCTTAAGGCATCTGACCATAACCACAAACAGACAGAGCATGAACGATTTGGGTGAGTGGTGTGGAAGCAGCACATCCAATCCTGACAGTGGCATGCATTCATTCGGTTTGCACGCCACAAAGACACAAGCAACATGATTTTCACATGATAGGAACACAGGCACGCTGCCTATAGTTGTACAGACATGCAAGTCCAGCCTCCTCGGCATAAGTATCGTCCGAGGATGGTGTGGACGGATGCAGTACGAACCGTTATCAGGAGGGATGAAACGTAGACTTGCGTGGACCATGCCATCAAAATGGTCTCAGCAACCGATGCTATGACAATTGTACATGAGCTGATCATGTTGATTGAACTTGATTCTGACACGGTTTGTATTTTACTATTTTGTCAGCAAATGATGATGAGGGTGGGTTGGCAGAGTGGACAATAGCTGTAGAAAGATGGTAAACTCCAGTAGTGTACACCCTGACAGGTGGTAGCTCCTCTGCATTCTGCATTTCAGGCATCTCCTGTGACTGCTCAGGCCCAAGTATGGACTGTAGTATGGGTGCATTACCCGGCGTTGAGAGCACAGGTCGCGTAACGGAGGCTTTGGAGAGAGTTTGGCATGACAGGCGGGACATAACCAATGAGGGTGTGGAGATGCTGGCAGTGTGGGCACCCCACACAGAATGAAGCAATTCAAGTTGATGCATATGTGTTGTCATATCTTCTCTACACTAAAAAAAAACATGACTGTGCCAGACTGTTTCGTTGGACTTTCACCGGCTCATCAGGCCCAGGATGCATTTGACTGACGGATAAGGACTCACCACGTCGGCCCATAGTTCGCGATATACCCCTTAGAAAAGTGGTCGACTTTGCTCACACCAACCCTGCAAGTGTGTGTGTGTGTGTGTGTGTGTGTGTGTGTGTGTGTGCGTGTGGTCATGTTCGCTATACAAAACTCTATGAAAAAAGCACGACTGTGCTGGACTGTTTTGTCATGTGTGTTTTTCAACATCCCCAAACGGCGTCTCTCATTCCATCCACAGACCATCACAAACCATCCATAAACAATGAAAGAATAGATGAGCAATATAGAAGTGTTTGTGTGTGTGTGTGTGTGTACCAGAACAACTCCTTTTCCACCCAGGTAAATTTGATCCATGAATAGAATCAATAGATAAGTAAACTTAGCAGCAGATGTTCAATCCATGATAATGAGAGGAGTGCCCTTGTACTGATCCGAGATTGCAAAATGACAAAGTACACACGATATCACACATGCCGAGCACGTAAGTTATCGTAGCCAAAAAACGGCAAAGCAACAGAAGTATTGGAAAAATGCTTCGGCACAATAGTTCGCACTCGTAGCGAATCTCAACGTGTCCGCCCTTTGGTAAGCATCACCCCCCAGACATCTCCCGAGTACTAAGCCAACTAACCACTCGCCCCTCATTCGAGTAGCAGCCATGGACCGTCGTATGACCGCCCGTGCTGCTCTCCGAACCTGTTGCGAAAGAGGATTAGCTCGTAGACAAACTGTTCATAGTATGCTTCTTCGACAAGCATACCCATATGTACAAGCCACCTGAGAAACAAGAAATCACGAAAAACAATCATGAAAAATACACCACCAAAAATAACTGGGAAATCACGACAACTTCAAGAGTTCATTCGTCAATTTTCCAGATCCTGTCTCATTGCTTCGCAAAGGCATCAGCCGCCTTTGAGAAGAAACGGTCTAGGAATCCCTTCGCGTGATACTCCTGCCTCAACAAAATCACTTGGACCAGAATCTCAGTCCGATCTGTTGTGTTCCTCTCCAACCTGTGCAGACTCCCTGCGACCGCAGCTACCATTTGCTTGCGGTTCGTCCAAGATCTGAAGTCCTGGCCTGTTCGAATTACCAGAGGCTGTTTCGACCAGATTGACCCCTCGTTTTTTACTTTTTGAACAGATCCCAGGAAAGGATGGGACTGAACAGGTTGAGGTGGAAGAAATGGCACCAGGCACAATCATGAAGTCTAAAAGGCCTCCCGCTGGGCACCCTGGCAGAACGTCAAGAAGGCCCTGAAGAGGGATCAACAACAAGGCTAACCGGACACACAACGAAGAACAAGGACAAGCAACAGAACACTGAGCGGGCCCCCCCACTTTTCTCGCAGTGCAGGGATTCATTCGACAGGCGCTGAATAGAAGCCTGAGAGGAACAAGTGGTCAGGGCAAGCTGACAGTCAATCCTCCTTAGAAGGAGTAATCAATGCTGGTCAGGGTTCCTTCGGCCAGACGAAAGGAAGCGCTGTGTGGGTAAAACGTTGTAATCTTTTGACATGCCGGGAATAGGAACCGGACTGACCTCCCCAGAATGGATATGGAGCCAGGACCATAAGGACCTGTTAAAAAAAAAAAAAAAAAAAAAGGATGGGACTGCCTAACCCTCAACCGGCAGCCTAAAAAATCCCAGGTACCGATTCGGTTGTCTGTCCTTTTCAGAGTGAGGTTCCGGGGGTAGCACTTTTCAAAACACCCCTGATTCTGTTTGCTCTGGTCCACGGACGACTGTCCCCTGTCCTGTAAGCTGCGGACAGGGAGACACCTTCCACAAGCCAGATCCCAGCCACCAACTTCCTGTCGGCACCCATGGAGTCCAAAAACCGCCACAAACTGATCCGAGCCAAGAATGTAAGAGAACACTCAACTTTTGCCAGTAAAAACGCATGCAGATTCTTTTCTTTTTCTTCTGTACTCGTTAAAGTGTAAGCCGGGGCTCGCGTAACGCTCCCGCGAGGCCCGGCTGCCAGTGTTGGGAAAACGTCATTCCCTGTTGGGGCCGCAGCGTTGTGTGGGCCGCACCGGCTGGCGGGGTCGCAAATATCCAGGCGCACGTTCAAATACAAGTACATAGCT